CTAGACTTTTTCAGGTGTCTTCTCCCAAGGTAGTCGAGGGACACCTATTTATCAAGTATGTTGCACTTACAACCTAAAAAACCTTCTTTAATCCCACACTAACCAACATGCATATAACCCTTTCCAAAATGGTTCGATTAAGCCTTTCATCCAAACCATTTTGTTAAAGAGTACCTGTAGTAGTTATGTGCCTTGCAATACCAGACACAGTACAATAGCTGTCGAAATCCTAATTTCAAAATTCAAGACCATTATCAGTGCTCAACCTCTTGACCTTCTTGCCAGTTTGGTTTTCGACTAGAGTCTTCCAACTTTTGAAATTTTCAAAAGTTTCATCCATAGTCTTCTAGATGAATACCTATAACATTTTGAAATAATCATCAACAATGGATAGGAAATACTTTGCACCTGAGTGTGAAGGATTCCTTACAGGCCCCTAATGATCAGCATGAATGTAATCAAGGGATCCATGTGTTCTTTGTTTACCTTTGTCAAACTTCACCCTACATGATTTACCAAATACTCAAAGTTTATAAAACTCCATTTTTTCGACCTTGTCACCACACAACATATTTTGTTTCGAAAATTCGACCAGGTCTTTCACTGTCATAACCAAGTCTCTTGTGTCATAGCTCAGTCTTTGACACAAATTTTATCAATGCCACATTTGCTGAATCACTTACAACCTCAACCTCAAGGGTATACAAGTCTGTTTCTTCATGCCTCTTAAGACTTCCTTTGACCCCTTCGTCACCCTTAGGATACTTTGCTATAATTTGAAAACATATCCTTTCTTGTCGAATTCACCAAGAGAAATAAAATTTCTCTTAAGGTCAGGTATATACCTGACATCAATCAATAGCCTTATTTACTTATCGTGGAGCTTGAATCTCACAGATCCAATACTTACAATTTTTTAAGCTTTGTTGTTTCTCAACAACACTGATCCACCATCTTGAACACATAATTTCTCAAATACTTCTTTGTTTGGAGTTATGTGCCAAGTACAACCTGAACCCATAATCCGCTCCTTGCTAGAGTCGTTGCTTGAAACTACTAAGACATCAGGTGATTCATAATCATGTTGCACAATGATTGCATTACCATTATCCTTTCCACTTGGATAATCCATTCGATCAACACACACCTTTCTTGTATGATCTGCCTTCTTACAATAATAACATCTAATTGCAGGAGTATCACCACCATAAGAATTATGTGAAACTTTACCCTTCTTCTTCTCAAACCTATCATCTTTCTTCAAGAATTTCTCCTTAACAGACAAACCTTCACCAATAGAAGATGATTTATGCTCTTTTCTTTCATTTAGGCCTTAGAGTACAAGGCTGATTGAACTTCTTCAAAGGTCAACAAATTTCTTCCGTACAAGAGAGTCTTTTTGAAATGAGTATGAAACTTAGCTAAAGCATACAACAACAACAATGCTAGATATTCCTCATCAATCTTGACCTCGATATTTTCAAGATCAAGAATCAACTTGTTGAACATATCCACCTGCTCAGCCAAGACTTTGTTTTCACTCATATTGAATGAATACAAGGCTTGCTTCAAGTAGAGGCGATTGACCAACGATTTTTCCATGTACATACCTTCGAGTTTCATCCACACACCCGTCACAATTTTCTCCTTTGAAACCTGTCGGAGAACCTTATCACCAAGGCTAAATATGATAGCAATGTGGACTTTCTTGATCATCATCATCATCTTCTTTTTCTTCTTCTTCTTCTTCTTCTTCTTCTTCTTCTTCTTCTTCTTCTTCTTCTTCTTCTTCTTCTACGTTAGAGAAACATCCATCTTCTTCGATCCTTTCAAAACTTCTAACAAACCCCATTGATCCAGTAGGGCTTGAATTTTCAAGCGCCAAAAACCGAAATTATTCGCACTGGTGAATTTCTCAATCTCATAATTTTTTAATGAAATCTTTTCTTCCACGCTCACCACACCAGTTTGTTGTGAATTGGTGTCGTCAATAACAAACCAAAATATGAGAAAAAAATTAAATTTTTTGAACAAACACAAGAAATCCTATTAGGTTTTGCAAAAGAGAGAAGAAGGAAGAAGAAGAACTAGAATTTGTTAAAACTGTTTTACTATTCACTTACTCAATAAAAGTTCAAATATTACAAGTGAATATCTCTCAACAACCTGAGATAACTAGTCTATTTATAGACTACTAAGCCAACTTAGGCTATAAGCTAACTTAACAATTGGACTTACAAGCAAGACCTAATTCGACATGTTAAAAATCCTAGCATTTCGACTACAGCATGCTCGAGCATACTTCGACTACAACATACAAGATCAACATGTGAACAAACTTCGACTACATTCTAAACCTTTATCAAACTAGAAAGTTATCCCTGTCGAGACTAGAGTTCGACCAAAGTACCACAATATCTAATGTCGATTGTTTATTTCACCAGCTCCTTTTTGAACATATAATCAATTAAATTGTTTTTGAAAATAATAATATGAAAAGTTATAAGTTTAGCTAGGGGTAAATGATACAAGCAATTCACATTAGATAATAATAAACTCGAGTTTGTTTTACCCGTCAGTTAAATTTCAAAACCAAGATATATGTTTTTTCGCCATTTAAAAATTGTAAAAATAATTTCACTGGGGATCAAACTCATGAATATTTCAACTATTTCCTCAATTATTCAGAAACCGAAGAGTAAAATGACAATTTTTATAGCGTCCTTCGTTAGCTCGCTTCTATAACTAAAATAAAATCTACTTCGCGGCCGAAGTAAGATTTCTTTAACAGTAACAATCTTCAATTTATATAAAAATATTCAAAATATATACATATTACGAATTGACAGTATAAAAATATTCAAAATATATACACATTACCAATTGACAATATACCATATACAAGCAAAAATTAATACTGTATGATGTATTATTTAGTTATTTTGTAATAATAAACCAATTTATTAGGATATTTTAAGTGATAAGTATAATTTTTAATATAAAATCATGTAATTAATCAGTATTTGTAATAAGTATTTTTATACAATATTTTAGTGCCCACCGCTATTTATGATTCACGATTGCAACTCTGCTGGAATATATCATTGGGTGGTTCGTTTGGAATGTTTACATCGGTGGGATAATGAGACACCACACATTAATAAACAATCCCTGGATAAGGTTTGACGTGACTGTGTTTATGTGTTTATATTAAGGTTGATAATCAAACACCACCACACAAATGTTACTCATACATATGGATTATTTAATATGTTGAATAGACTAGAAATAAGAGAATACCAAAACAAGATAAATTTGTATTTGATTGAACCGACTTTATTACATATCATGAGAATATGAGGATGAATAGTTAGTAGTTATTCACTATTATAAGAAAAACCTTTCATCTAAATCAAAAAAGCGTTTCGCTTTATATGGGATTTCGTGGTAACGAACGAAACATGTCATATAAGATACATTACTCTTTTTCTCGCACTATTTGTCTATGTAGAAAGTTGGATAGCGCGATAGTTTTTTTAAAAATTAAATAGTATTTTCGTTTCTGTAAATGAGTGAATTTTTTATTTTCGTTTCTTAATCTTTTTTTTTGTCCAAGTCTCCATATGTCCATTTCTCTTTGGCCTTAGTCTCTGCTGTGAGTGAACCGTTAAAAAATGCTGAGGTGGCAGATGGAGGTGACTTGACTCGTGTTTTAACATTTGTTTTATTATTTTCTTTAACAAACGTGGATATATTGTCCCCCCTCCCCCCTACAAACTAAATATGTCATCAAAACTCATTTCCCTTTTTTCTATTTAGTCCCTGTAAATCAGGGTTTCATATTTAGGCGACTAGTACGAGTGCTTGTCTGGGCGAGGCGCCTAAGGGTGACAAAGTTACAATTGTGATTGAGCGACCTAATAGGATCTTCCAGGTATGACATTTACAGTGAACATTCATTACGGGGGAAAGTTTGTTATGGATAGTGTCGTGTACTACTTAGGTGGGGATAAACATGCAGTAGACATTGACCCTGATAGGTGGAGCTTCTTTGAAGCAACTGGTATTGTGAAAGATATTTGCAACCTTGAGTCCACCGATTATTGACTATGGTGGTATAACATTATATAAGGTAAGCTTGCAGCAAATCTTTGTGCAGCTTTTGAAACAACACAACCTCAACCTAATGTCAATGGTCTCACTTCCCAAATTCCAGTTCCACCTCAAGTTGCTAGTGACCATGCTCCAACTATTGAGGTTGAACCTATAATGGATTCATAAGGAGTTGGTGACTTACAACCAAACTACATTCTGTCTGCACCTGTTCAAGAGGTTGAGCCTACACCTAATGAACCTGTTCATGCACTTCACCTAAGGAACCTGTTTCTGGGCCTCCTAAACCAGTTGAGTATGCTACTAACTAATTAAGTTAATGTGTATGTTCTCAACTTTATTGATATTGGCATAATTGTATCTGTTTCTATTGTGTCTTTGTAGGCAAAGCAACCCAAACAAAAGGTTGCAATGAAGTTGGAGTTGAGGAAAAGTGATAGAGCAAAGGTACTCAAATGCAAAAAGCTCAAGGGAGAAGGAAGTAATACTACATAACTATGGAAATTGTAGACATTGAACCTGTTTTGACTTATGTTTTTTTGAACAACATTACTACAATAGTGTATTTCAGCTTAAGCCTTGTTGTTCTCTATTATGTATTTTGATTACAATACTACTTTGACTTTAGCCTTAGAGTTTGAATGTTTCGGATACAAGTATATATTTTGACTTAAGCCTTTATGTTTATGATACAATGTGTATTTTGGATACATTATCAAGTTTGTTTTATGCACTTTATCAAGTTGTTTTATGCACAATTGAAATGGCCTATTACCAATTTGACTTTTATGCACATTATCAAGTTTGGTTTATGCACAATTCAAAATAGGAGGAGCAATATGATTTCATACATATAATGTCCAAAACCAAAACGTCTTTTTCATTCATCATATGGTACAATGACCAATCTCAAAATACATTAATGTTACAAAGACTAAAAACAAAAAACAGAAAATAGACATAAGCAAATGGGATTCACCACCATTTGTGATAAGAAAATAAGAACCCCATGACATAACCAACAATAGCTTCAAGAGAGTCGCTTTTCTCTTATCCTTCTCCAACTTAGTCTTCATCTTTGCCTTTTCTCCAATATCAATCTCCTTAACAATGGACCCTAAATCCTTCAACATTTTCGAGCAGTTGCAACCACTTGAACTTCTAAGATCACTAGCTGGATTTCGTTCAAGGTCATCGTCCCAAATGACCAAATTGCAACCAGACATTATTAACCTTGAATTTTGACACTTCCAAAATCTTCTTTTAGGATTTTCAACAGAGTTTGACATAAACATTTTCATGCTTCTATTGCAACCACAAACTGGTGCTTGAGCGTGATGGGAGTTGGCAGACAAAGAAGAAGCCATGGATGTTGAAGGTATAGAAAGGAATAACAACTTGCAATGGCGACGACAGAAGGAAGGAGAAGAAAAGAAAAATGTATTTTTTTTATTTGGTCCCTCTTTAATAAACTGTAAAGAGGACATATCCACGTGTGCTAAAGAAAATAATAAAAAAAATGCTAAAACATAATCCAGGTCATCATCGTCTGCCAACTTAGCTTTTTTTTAACGGTCCGTTGACAATAGGAACTGAATCCAACAGGAATTGGACATATGGGGACTTGGACCAAAAAAAAATCTAGGGACGAAAACCAAAAATACGCTAACTTACAGGGACGAAAACACTATTTAAGCCTTTTTTTACCATTGATGTAATAATTACTGACGTGAAAATTTGAAAATTTGTAACATAAGCCTTTTTTTACACTATTCAGGGATGAAAAGAATCTTTCCTTTGTTGTCATCTCAATAAGTAACATAACCCTTGGCCTTAAGCACTAGATTTGAAAAATTGTCAATATCTCTCGTCATATGCTTCGAACAACCACTATTAAGATATCATAAATTAGAAGTGGTCTTCAAGTATACCTACAAAACAAATTAAGTTTTGTTAGGTATCCAAATTGCATTGGGTCCTTCATAATTAGTATCTTTCTTTACCCACACATAATGCCCACTTACAATATTAAAGTTTCTAACATAGCAAATATTAGGTGTATGATCAACAATACCACAATAAAAACAAGTAGGAACAAAATTGCTTTTATATCTAGGAACATATGAATTATTTTTCACGAATCTTTTCCTTTTAGGATAAGGATGCAAATTTTTTTGTTTGCTCACTTTCTCTTTAGAAGATTGGTCACTAGCCTTAACAAAAATAGTTCTACTAGAACTTGGTTTGAAAAACTTTGAATAACCAAGTCCACTTTTATCATTCGAGTATATTTATTTACTAAGGATACCTTCCAACCCAATTTGTCCCTTTTCATATATTTCAAGAACTATTTTTAATTGAACAATTTGGAAAGAAAGTGATTCACAATTTTTACATAGAAAGTATTGTTTTTCTTCACTAATAATCTTTTGTTTCTCATCTCTTACATCTTTTTCTGTAATCTCCACTTTTTCTTCTAAAGATGTAATTTGTTTCTTTTGTGAAGATATTGTTTTGTACAATACTTTGCATTCATTTAAGAGTTCAATTATGGCACCTTGTGCATCATTATCATAAAGAGAAAATACACTACTAATCTCATCATCGGAGTGGTGTGAAGCCATTAATGCTAAAGTTTCACTTTCGTCGCTTTTCGAATCGGATGACGAACTTATGTCATTGTCTTCTCATGCAATATATGCCTTTTTATTCTTTGGCTCTTTTTTGCCTTTGAATCTACCTTTCTTGGAGAGTTTCAGACAATCTGGATTTATATGACCTTACTTACCACATTCATAACATGTGACATCTTGTGTTGAAGTGGAAGCCTCCTTTTTCTTAAGTGTTTCTTTCTTTTTGTATAATTAAAGGATTTGTCATTTTTACAAAAGAACTTACCAAGTATTTTTACTTGGAGAATGAAGTTTTCATCTTCCTCCAGTGCATCATCATCTTGATCTTATCTTGGTTCTCATGCTTTTCAAGTCTTCCAAGTTCAAGTTCATGTTCTTGGAGTTTTCCAAATAATGATGTGGATGTCATGGTAGAAAGGATTTTCTTTTCCGATATTACCGTCACTTTTGGTTGCCATTTTCTATTCAAGTATCTTAGTACTTTAAGATTGAATTCGTCATTAAATTTTTTTTTACCAAGTGCAATCAAGTGACTTGTTAAATGTACAAATCTTTTCTGCAAAGCGACGATGGATTCTCTGGGCTGCATTCGGAACATTTCATATTCTTGACTTAATGTATTCAATCTTGATCTTTTAATTTCAGCTGTTCCTTCATGAGTCACCACCAAAGTGTCCCAAGTTTCTTTTGCAGATTTACATTGAAAAATGAGGAAGAATTAATCCATACTTAATGCACTTTGCAATATGTTAATGGATTTCTTTTCATTAAGAACTTTCTTTTTATCATCTTCATCATAGGAAGTTTTAGCCTTTGGAGTCCCAACACCATTAATGACACTAACAAGATTATGTGGACCATTTTCAACGGTTTCCCATATTCCTTCTCCTTGTGTTTCTAAGTGTGCTTTCATACGGATTTTTCAAAAGTCAAAATACTCTCCAGAAAATAGTGGAGGCTTGTTGCTACTACCACCATCCTTGAAAACCGGATTTGCGCTTGTGGGATCCATACTGGATTTGTAGGAACATGTTACCTATAACTTACTCTGATGCCAATTGTAATTATAGTTTGCACCAAAGAGGGCGGGGGGGTGAATTAGGTACTTTTAAATTTTTTCCGGTTTTTTTATCTTATGTTGAGTTTTCTTTCCTAAATTATTACTAAGTTATAAAAGTGGTAAAATGAGGAAAGTAAACGACACAAGGATATATCTTGGTTCCCCTCACAATACGAGAGTACTCCGGTCCCCTTTCAACATGAAAGAGATTTTTAATATTGTAGTGACCTATACAAGACTAATCCTTGTCTTCCTATCACTAACAAACCAACAAAAATCTTCTTAGAATTTTTCACTAAGTTCAAGTGAGAACAATCCTCTTAAAATGAACCTCTTGTTTTCAACAACCTGGACAACAAGGATAACAACCACACAATCTTATATCCAACAATCTTGGAAAAATAAGATGTGATACAACAAGAGTTATTGAATTTTTACAAGTATTTGATATGAAGATTACGGTGTATCAATCCTTAGATTGATCTTCTTTCCAAAAAAACAATTTACAATGATATAGTAGTGCTCAAGTGTTTATGAATGAAGAGGAAATTTTATGACTTGATATGGGAACAATGTGCAGAAAAATCTCAATGAAAGTTTAAGTATCAAAACACTTTGTTTGAAAATATGAATGAGTAAATGATGTTTAATTGCTATGGAAAAGGTGAGGAATGAAATCTGAAAAATGAGAGTATATATAAATGCATTACACCTGTTGAAAAGGGTATAAAATAACTAAGCAATGCAATGAATCAAGGTATAAAACAACAACATGTTTAAATCCATAATATTCTGAAAATGGCATCGGTTCAGTGATGTAACCGGTTACCTCAAGGATGTAACCGGTTACCTCAAGTGTAACAAAAGTATTTTTCAAAAACTTTGCTCATGAAACCGGTTACCTCAAGCATATAACCGGTTACATCAATTAAAATTTTCCCAGACATGAAACACACAGGTTTTGCCAAAACTCATGTAACCAGTTACCTCAGGGATGTAACTGGTTACATTGCTGAAGATTTGCCCAAAAATGTAACAAGCAGATTTTGGAAAAGTTCATGTAACCAGTTACCTCAGGGATGTAACCAGTTGCATTACTGAAGGTTGAGAAAAAATGATTTTTGAAAACTTATGAAAGATAATTCCAAATGACATAAAAGAAGGGGATGCAAATGAATAGATATCAAGTGAATTTTTTAGCACTAGAATATCAACGTTTGAATTGAAAACTTGTACCATACTTGAAGATCAATTAAACAAAACTTAGTCTTCATGATAGTCGAATCTTTTGCTCAATATTTTCTTGATCCAATGCATATACATGTGTTAACTTCATCAAAACAAAAACTTTGAAGAGGCTTGACTTCACATTTCTGTCTTGCAATCCATCCCAAAGAATGACACTTGTGTGTTTAAGGAGGCTTCATATTAGTAAGGAATATGGTAAAATCTGTTGAACGACTTATTTTATAGTAAAATTTTATTATTTTAAGTCTTGGTTAAATAGAAAACCAAAGGGTTAGAACAAATAAAATAATAAAATGTGATAGTTGGTAATCGAAGCTTGTACTGAGTTATTTTTCACCTTCGTGTTATGAAAATTGAGGGAATTTATGGTTTTTTTTTTAATTTTTTTTATATAATAAAAAATAGCACGCATTGGTTTTATACCTCGATTTTCTATTGTTCGATGTGAAAGCTCCGTCATGAAAAATATTATTTGTTGTAGTGATGGGTGATTCACAAGTGCAAGTATACATAGTCGATGAGGTAGCAAGTGATAAAAGTAAAAGTATTGATCCCACATGGATTATATTAACTTAAGTTAAGTTTCAAGTCAAAAGATTGTAAATAGAACATGATAAAAGAATAATAATAATAATAATAATAATAATAATAATAATAATAATAATAATAATAATAATAATAATAATAATAATTGATCATTTTCACTAGTTCATAATGAATAAGAGAAACTAAGAAGTAAGGATGTTAAATAGAGTTAATGGGCATGTTAAGAATTGATCCATTTAATAATTTTACCTAGTGTGTGTTAGCTCCCAAATTCGACGCCTAATTTGGATTAATGGAAATAATAAAGAAAAACAATTTATATGAAGTTTTGAGAAGCTTCGACAAAATTGTGAAACCTGGTTGTTTTTGGTCAAAGTCACCTTTTTGTACAAGGAGAATATGCTGAACGGACTTGGGAAAATATTTTAAGTCTTAGAAGTTGATTCGACAGAGAATTACTGACGGTACTTTCGACGTAAGATTTGAATTCAAATGAAGGAGGGAACTTTGTTCTTTTCCAGATTTTTGAAAGAGACTCGTGGAGCATTTTCAAGAAAAGAAGACATGTCGAGCGCCACTTGTCTTATTTTTGTAGGAAGGCCGTTAAAGGCAGTTATTTCGATCATTATGAATACGAAGTCTTAACGTTAAGATTGACGTGTTTAAAGTTGTACAAAGTCTCTAAAAATTACTCAAAGTACCCGTGTGCATAGGAAAGTGTGTTGAGAAAATGTACGTTTGACAAAACACCATATCTTTACACTTTAATTTGAGTTTTATCTTTTTATCACAAGTTTGTTTTTTTATCGCCCAATTGTTTAAGTTAGCTTGTACCCTAAGTTAGCTTGTGATAGTGTGCTATTTTTCTTATAAATAGGAT